CATGGTCAAAGTAGGGAATTACGCTAATAATAATTACAAAAAGTCAATGTCATTATGAAGTAACCATCAACTGCATTGAGAGAATTGATTGTTCTAACGTAAATAAATCACTGGTAGGAAATAACTGATGTTTTTAATACTGCATTTACATGAATAACGTATTCTGGTAATAGGGAAACTTTAGAAAAAATAGACTAGACATAGAGTACAAGTATTCGATTTGGATCCGGTAATCGGATTTTTAAGATCCGACCGGGTAACGGATTTTTTATCATTGTGAATTCGATAACAACTTTTTCTATCATCATAGTTTAAATTCTATCGAAATCAAAAGGTTAGATCATCAGTTCCGAGGTAACAGTGAAGTGAAATCTTTGAAACAAGGAGGAGACCATAGAGATGTAAGAATAAAGCGCGCGAGGGGGCTGCCAGCGCGATGCCAGGGGAAGAGAATACTCTGCCAAGAGCCCCCAGGCCTTCTGTTATTGTAGATGACCATTGAAATGAACATAGAGAAGCTGCCAGCGTCTTTTCTGTTTCTTCGTCGAATGAAAAAGAGAAGAAAAATATCGACTGATTTGATTTCATCCAAGTAATGAAAGAACAGATAATTTTGGCGCCTCCTATAGACGTTATTTGATGAGTTGAGGCAAGGAACATAAGCGACAGAAAATCTGCTGTTTGCGTAAAAGTGCATTTGTTTATAAGCACCCGTCAGTTCCACTCAACTACTGCCAATTATAAACTGGCCAATCGGTTGTTTTTTCCCTGTATCCTGTAAGGTCTAATGTACTTCAGTGGGGTACAACGAGAGGTTACCCCTAGTTTATTTTGTTTAACGTGCTGACTCCTTTGACGTGTACTCATCACGACCTAACAGATATACTCAATCAGCGCACGGTGATCGAAGCCAGCGCTATCAGTTTTTCTCATAGGAAGTGAGCAAGACCTCCTAGAGTCCACTGAAACAGATGGGGACCTATCTAAACCCTACCAGGATTAGCACGCTTGGTACCTGAGCAGATAAATGTCGCTCACCCAACGAAGCATCTCCTTCTCTCCAAATATGCTGGGTGAAATTACTACTACTACCACCAGTCCAACCTCAAGACGACAGGGATAATCCCACGCGTAGCCCCCCGGTCTCCCGTAGCACCTTCACCGCTGGTCAGATTTTTGAGGGACGAATCCTCCTCTCAATTGAATTACCTGCACTCCGGTAATAGTAAGTCATCTCGGGTTCGTGGGATCGCTCGGATACTAGTATCAGGTATCGTACCAACAACAGCACCTCTTCTCAGTCCCCTGCACGCCCATTTGGACTACAGTTGGAATGGGGGTGACAGTAATTTTTCTGCTTGGAGAAAGCCGCCCTTTGTGCATCTTATTCCATTTTGATAAGACTTCTATGCGAATCTTTCTTTTCTCAAGGAAGTTATTATTGTTCGTAACGTTCTCTCTTACTCTTGGTATCACAAAATAGTATAGGATAGATTAAATGGATATGGCGCGATATTCTTATATCCGGAGCCAGTTAATTATTTCTTTAACTGGAGACCCATCAGAAACCAATACGTAGGTACACACCTATTCGATGTTAAAACAACGCGTTCTAGTGCTCTTATGTATACGGTTGATCGGGCGGCATGCATGTTAAAAAAAGGGGCCATTTGAACTTCGTAAAAACCGATTGCTTCTAAGGAAACGCATATCTTATTAAATATTTGTTTTGTTTCTCAGTTCAACATTTCAAGTCTTTACCAAATTGTTTGTAGGAGAGGCTATATAGTTGAGCAAATATTATACTTCAGCCACGCTGTGTTCGGGAAGTGAATTGAATAATATTATTCAAAAGCTCCAAAGGTTCTTGGCTTTTGTTCTTAACTGGTTCGAATTATCTATTCGACGTAAAATAGTTCCTTATGCCAACTAATATACTCTTTAGTATACACTGTAAGATTAGGTATATTGAGAAAATTTGGACATGAGAATCAAACCTAAGATTAATGGAAGATAGATTGATAGGTACATAAAATTGATTCAGTCCAGAAACACCATATTTTAACCAACATAGAAACACTTAGCATAAAATAAGCATATACTTATTGTTTTTTTGAAGTAAAAACGAAGGAAATTTACTATCGTATAGAACCGAAAAGTGTAATGCCAAGCGTCACAGCGTCACGCGTCACGCGCAACATGTGACCCCTGTAGGATATGCCCAAAAGGAGTTATTTTAACAGGCTTCAGAAGCTGACCTATTAGTAGCAACTGATAATCTGAAAATTGACATTTAGACAAATTGTTAGAATTGATAGGAGATCGTACACGCGTTTGTGCTTGTTTGTTTTGATTTGTTTGTAATTCTTTTCTACAGTTTTGTACCTATGTATAGTGCAAGTGTAAAAGTAAAGTTTAGTAATTAGTTAATGCAATTGTTTAATCCAATTGCGAAACATGGACAGTGGGCGCGGCGGAAAAGAAAAGGTTAGAAGCGTTCGAAATGTGGTGTTATAGGCGGATGATGAGGATATCGTGGGTAGAAAAGGTTATAAATGAAGAGGTATTAGAAAGAATAGGAGAACAGAGAACTCTATGCAAGTCAATCAAAAATAGGCGAGATAGGTTGGTAGGACACCTTCTTAGGCATGAAGGTCTAGTCAGAAACATATTAGAGGCAGAAACAGGAGTTAGGAGGGGTAGAGGGAGACCTAGATTAGATTACTGTTCGCAAATAGTTAAGGATGTGGGTTGTTCTAGTTTTAGGGAAATGCGAAGTTTAGCTCAGGATAGGAAAGAGTGGAGGTACGTGTCCAACCAGTCTTAGGACTGGCGACCTTATGATGATGAATTTACAATCTAAGGGATGTTTCACTTCTTACGCGTGTACACTAATACACGCTCGTCCCCTTTTTGTTATTTTTATTTCTTATTTAATGCAAATAGGCAAAATGAAGGAAATATTTACATTTTGTTATGAGATTATCGGATCATTTACGAAAGATGTTCATTTTGTAATGGTACAGTGCGCGTGGCTTATTTTCTTGGAATTGTACGCTGTATTTTATAGATGACCTTCACGCTGTTTACATATATTCATATATACTGAAGAGGTGAGGAAGAAAAGTCATAATAACATAATTCTTGTACTTCCTAATGAACACCTGTTACTTATATTCACAGTTAAAGTGCATGTGTATCGCAACACTAATAAATTGGACTATAAGTTCCCAAAGAATGCTATTTACCAGGACCTTCGTTGCTCTTGCATCTCGTCCATCGCTAATCGTAAGTTATACGTAATACTTGTGCGTTTGTTGCAGATACTGTTCGCCGTTAATAATTGTTCCGCGCAAAACGCATTATAACTTTGTAGCATGATTCATTTCGGTACAGCAGTTTTCAATAAATTACAGGTAATGTGAACAGGATGCCTTTACTATTTCACAAAGTACACGGAGGAAGTTTATAAATGTCAGCAATTAGATAGCGTTACGCGTCAATACTCTTACTAAGCTTTTAAACGTACACTTCTTCGTTTTATATTCGACGATCTTATTTGATAATTTAGCGCAATAAAAATTACTTCCACACTATTACCTTGCTGCATATTATCTGATTACCGACATTATTTATTACGATTATGTAGGCATTACACTTCTAATAAAAATATATCTACTCCCAATGTTGATATAACATCGGTTTATTTTAGAATTCTCATAGTCATTTTCAAAAATTCCTAGTGGTTTGCAAGGGAGGAAAAAGCAGATATAGATATAGAGATATGAAAGATTAGAAGAAGTGGTTGATTTTAGGTATCTAGGAGGTCAGATAAGTCAGGACGGAAGGAGTAGTAGGGATATAAAGCAGAGGATAGCGCAAGATTGAGTCGACTTCAATAAAAAAAAGTCATTTCTATGCTCGCGAACGGTTAATTTAGAAATTCGAAAAAGGTTATTAAAGGTGTATGTTTGGAGCACGGCGTTGTACGGGTGCTAAACAAGGACAATAGGCGCTGCGGAAAAGAAAAGGTTAGAAGCTTTCGAAATGTGGTGTTACAGGCGAATGATGAGGATACCGTAGATAGAGAAGATTAGAATTGAAGAGGTATTAGAAAGAATAGGAGAACACAGAACATAATGGAAGTCAATAAGAAACAAGCGAGATCGATTAGTAGGACACCAGTCATGCAGGTTTAGTCAGAGACATATTAGAGCCAGAAACGGGAGTTAGGAGGGGTAGAGGTAGACCTAGATTAGATTATTATTTGGCAAATAGTTAAGGATGTGGCTTGTTTTAGAGAAATGCGCAGATTATCTCAGGATAGGAAAGAGTGGAAGTACGTGTCCAACCAGTCTTAGGACTGACTACCTTATCATGATGATGACATCGTCTCTGTTGTTTACGCTACTTTTAATTTTTCATCGCAATTGATGAAATCTGTTTTAATACTGTTTCAATACACTTTCATAAGCACTTACGTATGAGTTTTTCAGTACGAATGGAAAACGAAACGACAAAATCCTCTAGTAATCAATTGTGTTCGTTTAGCCCTTTTATTGTTTCAATGCCAAAAGTAAATACATAAGCAGGTGTGGAACTTGGCATTGTACAGAGGTAGATTTAGTAACCGCTGGTAAATCTGAATGTATGCTTCTGATTGCAAATGTTAAGTTTAGCGCTTGATGAGATAAGGAAGGAGCACTTTGTGGATGGAAAGGAATCGTTCAAAATCTAATGGAAAAAAAGAAAATTAGTGAAACCAGCATTTTCCGAAGATTTGGACAGTCCGGTATGAAAAACACCTTTGATAGGTTTAAGGACGAAAAAGAGGTTCCGCAAGGATGATACGCAGGACAATTGGTGTGCAAAAGGTTGGAGCCTGTGCTTTTTCCACTGCATACCACGATCCCGCGATACCAACCGACGGTGGTGTGCGTGGTTGCGCATGCGAGAGTCGCGACCAGGTAAGAGCGGGACCGCGGGACCTGAGCGTTCGCATCGCTTCAGTCATGGGGCTCGTCTAGGTGCAGTGAGTGCGCGGTCATGCACGCCGTGCTCGTGCCAGTCTACCTCCTCCTCGTCACCCCCATCACTGGATCCTGGTGGTGAGTGCGTAACTGTATACCTATTTACTAACCTAACACTCTTCTCTTATCTTGCGCCGCCGCTCACGGTGATAGGGACTGTGACTACCGTTTGTTTCCGGAGCCCCGTACTAAACCGATCTGACCCGGCACTCCGGAAAGGCCGGTGGTGAAGTACGTCGAGTTTCCGGAGGTCTTTGAATGTGTGAGCGTGTCATTCTATCTAGGACTTTGACATGAAACACTCGTCTTAAGTTGCGTTTTCCACTTTTTCTTTTGGGTTTTCCGCTATCGCGTCAGTTACATTATATTGCAGATTTTACAAGTTTTCTGATTGTCTTGAAAAAAATTAACTACATTTTTCTTCATTATTTAAAATTTGTATAAATGTTCACAAATTATAATGATGTTTTTCTAAGAATTGTGTAACTTTTATGTGATATTCAGAATAAATAAAAACTGTTTGTATTTATGTCTAGAAGTTTTTATAAATGAATTACAGTGGTTAATTTTGAGAAACTTTTTTTTTAAATTAAATTTAAATCATAAAAACATCTCTAAAAGAGAAACGTGTAATTAAATTCGAATTTTCACTTTATGTTTATATTATAACAGATTTATTTCAGATAGATTTTTTGATTTTTGTCTTAAAACATTTAGATTTTGATTTTGCATAATAGAGTATTTTTCTACTTGAAATGATCATTGCTGTTAATAAACAATTTTGTAACTTAAACTGTGTTTATATTTGTGATTAATTATCTGTTATAATAAAAAGGAGATATAGTCAACGAATTAGATCTGCTAGTTTTCATGGAAATTACAGGGACTCTTGAGTTACATCTTGATCCTATCAGAACACATATATATTACTTCTCTTAACTAAAGTATATTTTGTCTGAGAAAAGTACTTGTTTACATTTTCTAACATATTCTTCAGTTTTGTTTGAATTTGGAAGCCCGCAGAGGTTGCAACTGTTACTTATCAGAGATAACGGTAGTTAAACAAGATGTAGATTATTATGAAAAGATTGCTTCCTAAATTAACAAAAAGTAAGAGAATTAGATGTGTGTTTACAGCAGATTAACGGTAGAAACTAGTCCGGACTACTGCAACTATCTGCTGGGGATGATCATAAAATTTAATCGCTCATTCAAATTAATGGCGCACATCCGGAAAACGAGATATAGTTTTTATTTCTTCTATTTCTTTTAAATTTCATTTATGTACTACTAACGACCGAATTTTATTAAGTATATCTTTTCAATACATTTATTACATTTAACATTTCTTCTTTTACCATATATCCGTCGGTAGGCTACTGAAACAACTTCCTATTAATGTCATTTGAAGAGGATTTGGTATCAATAATAAAATTAATAACATAAATAGTAAATTAACGAAATTTTGCAAATAATCATAACTACTTTATAAAAATGGCTAATTAGTTGATTTTCATCTGAAGCCATTAATTACTTTCTAAACTTGTTAGCTCACTTAAGATTAATAATTACAGCGTAAACTTTATAATGAAACTAACGCTAAAAGTAACGAAGATTGTCGTTCATTTAGAAAATTTTCGTTTTGTACAGTAAGTATAAATGTTGCGACGTTTCTTTCACCTTCCTTCTTGAATCGCACGTACTAATGCAATCTTTAATTTCCACACACAAAGTTTTCCTTTTAGTCATGGGTAATAGTCATGTTCAAATCAGTCGTCTTGTAGATACGTTACAGAGAATGACCGATTCGTTATGCTCAAATAGGCAATACGTACCTAGGTATAAGACAAATCGAATAAGCTCAAGTAACGTCTACGCTGTAGGGAGTTTTTGTTATAAAAAGATTCGCTATGGAGAGTTTATATTTTACTTTTAAATTGGTATGTTCAACACTGACAAATGATACATAATTAATTGCTTGATGTAAAGAAAAACAAAAAAGTGGATTCGTTTTTGTTTTGCACTTAATTTAACCGCACTTTAGTTTACAAGAACTAATAATGAGGATAAACGTAATTACTCTCTGTTTGCCCAATAACTGTCACGGTGCGGTTACTAACTTACTTACGTAAAATAGGTTAAACTTTAAGGCATTAGCGCCATGGCACAACATAGCGTTTTTTAGTGTTTAACACAAAAACTAATTAAGTACATGAACTTGGAGAACAAATATCTATTCTATAAAAATAAAATCGAATGATGCTTGTTGGTAAGTGCATTAGTTTGCATTACGGCTGGACCGATTTGGCTAATTTTTTCATTACGTGTAACGATTTCGAGGAATGAAAAATTGTAAAAATTGCTCGGAAAATTGGAAAACTTGGGAGAACAAAGTGCTCCTTTATATACTTAGGATTTTTGATGAACTTTAGAATTGAACCTCGCTGAATGACAAGAGTTAACTATTTAAACAACATTTTTTTCAAACAAAAAGGCTTTTTCTAATGATATAGTTGCTTATGCAAGAATTATAATGCATTTTATTTTATTTTTAAGTTAAGTCACGATATGCACTATGTAGATTTGAAGACAAACTATTTTGGTAACATTTACGTTAAATTTCTAATTTTTATTTATGTAGTTCTTTAAATAAAAGTTAAAAAATGCACATAGACATTAATCGCATGCTAAATATTTGTAAAATAATTTCACTTTTTTGTTAAATTTTGCAATTATTAGTCTGAATCCCATACGGGGGCACATAATTGAACTAATGATAACCTCATTATCGCTAAATTAGTATTTAATTGCAAAGTAGTAGGTGTCGTTGATTAGAATACCATTACGAACTGTAATACGTATTCTAATTACACAAAAGCGTTTAAAAGTTGACGAGGTCCGTCGTTATGTTGTTTGTCTTCAGTCCTAAAATGAATAGTCATACATACACATATATAGTTCCTTAATCAGTTATTAAGTCTCTCGTACTTTATATTCAAGTTGAACACGCAAGGGTTGAGGATAACTGGGACATGAGGATGACAACGAACTGTAGCCGTTAACTCAGCTGGCAAAAAACAACTAATTTAGAAACAAAAAGGAAATAATTATGGATTATTTGCCACATATTTAAATTATGTTGATTACGTCGCTAGAGAAATATTTATAAATAATACAATACTTGCGTGCGATATAACCCTCAAATACTCCACCTCCTTCCTTCCATTTGACAAAAGTGACTTTATCTATAAAAACCTTTGTAAATCACTAAAATAATATCACTTATACATATTTTGTATATGTCGCAGCTAAAGTAAGAAGTCTGGCATTTTCTAATAAGACAGGGTAGCAAAGAAAATATCTATCTGAATGTTTTAGACGAATGCATTACAATGAATGGTGTGCTCTTGAAATGAAACCGATTCGTTTTCAGTGTTCTGGGAAACTAATAAAAGGCTATTAAAAACAAATCGTATTGTATAAAAGTTAAATTAAAATATAATAGAAATATTTTTAAGTAGAATATAGTAGAGAAACAATTTTAACTTTTCCCATACAAGTACAGGCTCAAATTTAATAACTTAATTACATCCATATCATATTCAAACGTAATTTTCCGGCTTGGTGATTGCCACAATAACATTGTGACAGACCACGTAATGAAAGATATTTTGTGTCCATAGTTTTCACGATGAATTCCTTTTCGAAATTACCAATTACGTATTTAGATTAATGATTGCGCTTTAGTGGATGCAGACGAGGGCGCGAATTATAATGACATTAACTTGTGGATGCTGATAAGGGTGAGAATAATTGAAATTCTAAATTTGCGAATGCGGATGAGAACGAGGATATGGATGCGGATGAAGCTAAGGATATGGATGAGGATGGGGAGACGGATGTGGATGCGGACGTTATTTTTTTTTCTCTGAAAATACTTGTTAGTGTTATTTAACCCTTTTAGTTTCAAACATTTTTATCATTCAGTCCGTTTTCAAATATTTGTGGGGCTTTAAAATTGAAATTAACGACATAAAAGCTCACTTTTCCAGCATAGCAGTTATTTTTTATTGGTTATTGTTAGGAAATATCGCAGCTCACAGCTCGGACTAATAATGTTAACCAGTTTTCAACGTATTATTTCTTATTGTGGCACTGTAGTACAAAAAAAATATCCGCTAAATATCCTCATCAGAATGTATATGGATTTTAAACAATTTAACTATGTGGATATGGACGAAGATGCGGATTGTCAGAAGTTGTGGATGCGGATTTGGATGCGGTTGCTATATCCGTTACAATCCGATTCTTTAATAGAACTTATAGCTAATTACTTCACAATTGATTTCGTACATTAGGTCAATGAAATTTATAGATGAGCTTGAAAAAGTATCTTACAACATTAGTTCCGTTTAGTTTTAAAAATCTCAGGTTGTTTCATATTCCGCAAAATAAAATTTACTAACTTTGGAGCACAATTTTTATTACCTAAAAAACACAACTTTTGTATATCATCTCGTCATTTTTGTGTTCTCATACTGTGATAATTTTCTTTAATATAAAAAAAACATTCATTGTAATTCAATGTAAGTGAAAACGATTTAGTTCACATTAAATGACAATAGCAAATATGTAATGGTAAAACTTCCAGCCTTGATTTATTATAAGCGATCAGTCGATCAATTATTATTATTTGTACGATAGAAAACCTTTTCGTCATAACGCTATTGAATGGGTAACTAACTATTATTACTATGGCGAACTTAACGCCAATAAATAACAATAAAAAAGGGCATTGATCTTTTACGTTACGTCAGATCCAATAAGATAGAAAATTTGCTAATTAAGATTTAATATCGTATCTCATAAAATAAAGCCTTTCAATGTCAACCAAGTTTACACAACTGATTTTGAAAGAAGCAATTACCATTTTAATTAATTTGCATACTAACAAAATTAAATATGTACAGGCAAACCAGTTAACAAACATATACATGTAGGTACCTATATGATGCAGTGTATGTGTTGAAAAAAGTGGATTAATTAGAAGACTTAATTCTAATTAAAAAGATGTTGAT